TGTTCCCAGTCGACTTCGGCAACATTTTATTTGACCCACATGATTTTTGTTCCAGTATTTCATTTCATAACAAAAAAACCGCCACAATCAGTTTCAGCTGGAAGTTAACCAATTTTTCTTTGGGGTTTTCAGTTCAGCCACAAACCAACAAAAATAATTAAAAAAAAACCCCATCACTTATTTGCTTAGTTCAATTTAGAATAAGCATTAGAGCTAATCCTTATATGCACCATCTCAAATGAACTGCAGAGACACGCAGGGACAACTCATTTGCTCAGACTCGTTCAGTCAAGCTTTTGACACAACTTTTGCTCCCTAGCTCGCTGAGGCTATGTCTAGACCGCAAGCTTCTTTAGGAAAAGATCTTTTCGGGAAAAGATCTTTTCTCGATTTTCTGGAAGAGATCTTTTGAAAAAACTTCTTCTGAAAGAGAGTGTCCACACACAAAAGCGCATCGAAAAGCAACCTGCTTTTTCAAAAGATAGCGTCCACTGAATGGACGCTATCTCGCATGGAAGCTGTGATTACTATGGACAGAGTGGCCACCAGGGCCCCTCTGCTTTTTCCTATTCCCTCTTCTTTCAAAAGAACTCCCTCTTCCCCATCCACACACATCTTTTTCCAAAAAAGGCTTCTTCCTCGTAGAAAGAGGTTTACCAATGTCGGAAAAACCCTTCGGTTGATTTTTTTCAAAAGAACGCAATTGCAGTGTGGACGTAAATGAAGGGTTTTTTTTGGAAAAATTTCCGTTTTTCAAAAAAACCTCTGCTGTGTAGACATACCCAGAGGGATTTCTGTCTAGACTGCATTGCCCAAGTAGCATATAGTCAGAGACGCTGGAGAGCATTAGTGGAGCAGAAAACTGCATGTGTTTATACCATCAGGTCTGGTCTCCATCACACAAGGCACAGGCTACAAGAACAATCAGTGTACTACAGGATTCTGAGTGTCAAGCAACCTGCTGTATTTAACTCTGACTCCCACAGGTGCAAATGGTAAGTTACCAGCCAAATCCTCCATTAACCACTTACTCTTAAGAGGGGCTTCCAATCGAGAGAGAGAGAGAGAGAGAGAGAGAGAGAGAGTTAGGTCAATGACATCATAACTTCAAGATGAAGAGCAAAGAGGTTTTGCTTTTCATTGTTTCTTTAGGGCTCTGTGGATTTGTATTCCAGACCCCAAACTCCTCCCCAGCAAAACAAGTTTTCTGGTTTTCCTCACCACCGACAAACTCAGAATCACCAGAAATATCATGGTTTGATTTCCTTGGTTTTGCTGACAGAACTCTTTGGGGAACGGGAGAAATGGTGATACAATGAGAGCATAAAAACCAAAAAGTCTGTGCATGAGCTTCTTCCAGCCCTCAAGCGGAAGCAGGGTCTGCGGCTGTCTTGATCCGTCATAAATCAATTAGGGGAACAGAAACAATCTTATTCACTTTGCACTTCATCTAAACCAAGCTCCAAGAACTCACAGTTTGCTTTTTGCAGTTACGTAACCTGGGCATCGCAGAGCCGAACCCTGCGAGTGCTTATGCACGGGAGTCACTTTGCACAGGGGAATAACACCACAGAGCACTCAGCTGCAGAAGCATTTGCAAGATCGGGGCAGCGATAAGAATCTGCTTAGTTCAACTCATTCATTCATCTTCCATTATTTGGTGCTGCAGTTCTGGTTTGTTATGGGGAATTGCCTTAAGGTATTTCTGCACTGCATTAGGTTTTGTGGGCCATAAAAAACAAAAAGCAAGAACATCGCCATTCTCATGGCTAGCCACATGATGCCATCCCAAGGTCAGACCTCCCTTAAACATGCTTCCATCTGTCAGGGGTCTCATGCCACACCCAGCACCAGAGAAACAGCCCCCAGGGCATACAGGAAGAAGGTCCTGTTGTAGTTTGCAATAGCCTTTTATTACCCAAGTGCTGGGGTAGGGCTGAAGCCGGCACTCAGAAGACCCTTATATCAGGCAGATGAGGAGAAAGCTCAACAGCTAAAGGTGGCGAGTTAGGACTGAGGACAAGCCCTGGAAAGATGCAAGGATGGGATTAGGGGCCAGAGTCTAAGGCCGGGACTTCAAACTCCCAGCCCACAGGCCAGTCCTGGCAGAGCGACTGCACAATCCGGCTGGGGCAGAGCTGTGGTTGACTGTCTCCCATGCTGCCATTGCCACGCCTCTCCTCCCTGAGAAAGCGACTTTGGAGATCACAGGGGCCTGGTGCCACGAGGCAGGAGCAGCTGTGCCCTCCTGTGGCTCCTGCCACCACGGGGAAGCAGAATGCAGTGGAGTAAATGCACCCACTAACATGTGCCACTTCCCCCCTGGCTCCTGCTGCCGTGGGGTATCTGGGAGGGGGGGACACGGTTGCCAGGTATCTGGTATTGACTCAGAAAATAAGGTATTTTCACCTCTTATCTGGTAAAAAAATTCAGAAAATACCGGACACCTGAAATGTCCAGTATTTTCTGCTTTTTTCCCTGCCAGGAGGCGAAAAATACTGGACACCTGGCAACCCTACACACACTCAGCAACCGGGCCCAGCCCCCGGACACCCCACCAGGTCTCCCTCCCCAGACCCCCCCCCCCCAGCCTCTGCTCACCTGGTTCCGCAGGGGCTTTTCTTGTGGCTGGGATAGAAAAAAAAAAAGGCCACCAGCCAAAAAAAAAAGCCTTTTCTTAAAGGGGCCATGATGATTTTTAATTTTTAAATTTGTTTACGTAACTGCTGTCGGGGTCCTTTTTTTTCCCCTCAACAACCGATATTTAACATCCCTGCTGGAGAATCCACCTTAGTTCTAATAGTTAATTACTCTGAGGGTTACAATTTCACACCTTATTTCTGGTCTGAATTGGTTTAGCTTTGTCTTTGTCACTCAGACGCTCCAAATAATTATTTTTGCAACCAGTTACTGGTCTTAGAGCCAGTTGGAATGTTTAGCAAATTTCCCTCCCATGCAGACCTTGCTTTCATTTTATAAAAGCACCTAAATGACACAGCAGCCCAAGTGCCATTGAAAGTCAATGAGACTTCGCTCTCCTAATTGCCTGTGCGGTGGCTAGGAAAACAAGTCTTCAGCTGCTATGTTATTCGGGTGCTTCTGAAAGTTGTTCCCAGGGCATATGGCTCCAGCCAGCCATCTGGCTACGAAATGGCACAGTCCCGATTCCTCAGGAGCAGGAGCGGCCCAAGGCCGGCTGCGGCAGCTGGCGCCCCAAGCGGAAGGCGTGATTGGCACCCCTGCCTGCAAGGCCGTCAATGGGACGTCAATGGGGTAATGTCATCATCAGGCGCCCCATGACGTCATCATCGGGTGCCATTGAAGGCAACACCCTACGCGATGGCCGAGTCGGCCTATAGCCAGGGGCCGCCCTTGCTCAGGAAGGCAAGGGGTGGAGAAAAGAAAGGAAACACATCCTGCTGTCTCTTCCCAGTTTTACTTGTATGTTTTGATCCCCTCTTTAAAAGACTATTTGAATCACTTGATCCAACTGCTCCTTCTGGATAAATGGTTTAAATACAACAAGCAGAATTTCCCAGCTCCAGGGACTGCATAAGTGCTGGCTGGATGCTGAAGATTAATATGTTTTCAGCACTTCCCTGGAGCTAAACTCCTGACCTTGCCTGGAGACACACTCCAAGGATCTTCTACCCTTGAACAATGGAGACATCGATTTCTTATATCTGCTCCAAGCAATTAATCTAGTACCTTCTGTATTCATCCATTTACATGGCTGCCCTCAGCTTCACCGCTGTACTAACCAAGCCCTTTATAATATGTAATTAGTTCATCCTAATTAGCAGCTAATGAAAACTCTGGAGCTTCCATCTGCCCCTAAAAACGCAGAGTCTTGAAAATGAAAACGACTAACTGAAGCTTATCACAGCCCCTGCAGCAGGCTGGGAAAGCTGCTCTCGGCAGCAGCTGACCTGTTCCTCATTATTTTTCAAACCCCCACATATAGAGATCTATATTTAAAGTTGCTGAAGACCAGATGAGCCATTAATATCAGAGTTCAAGATCCTCAGGAGTCTCTGGTTTTGATTAAGTGCTTGAAAAATTAAACTTGACCCAGCTCCAGAAACTCATTATTCTTTCCCGTTGGGCCTGTGAAGTTCACCGGCTTTCTTACTAGAGCAGGATCTTGCTAATTCACACTAATCCGCAGGAAAGCTACTGAGAATGAGCTGGGTTTCGGAAAGACAAAGGGAAGCAGACAGATAACAGAATAGATAAGCAAAGGGCACCACAGACGAGGCTGCTCATGTGGATCACTGTGCAGCTGCGTAATTCATCGTTTGCCTGGAACATGCAAGTTCTGTAACGGAGTCTGAGGAATTTTAAGGAACAGCTTTTCAGTCCCGCCTATGGTCAGATTTGAACAAAACCTTCAATTGCACACGCCTTCAGACTCAAGTGTCCAAATTAGAGGCAGAACCAGGTAACACCCTTCCAAACACCTACCTTTCTGTATTTTGCAGAACATTAATGACGTGGTGAGAGTGTGAGACCATGCCATAGGATCTGGCTATTTAAAGTTTTGCTGTGCTCTGATGTATGTTCAACTATAATGCGCCAAGTTTCATAAGCGATGCATAAACCCTTTTAAATCCAATTTTTGGGCTAAACCTTTCCCCCCACCAACAGAAAAAGTTGTGGGATTCATCAATGACACCCAAAAACTCAAAGCAACTCTGTCAGCTTGTTACTCTTGTTCTGCCGTTACTGCTTAACATGGTTCATGCGAGCTCTATAGTTTTGCTGGAAGCTCTTCAGGACAGTGTTTATTTTGAAGGCATCCAGCCTACTTCTGGGCTGCTTGGGGAAAACCCCAAGCAACTTGCAGCCCAGGCTGTATCATACAGTGTTTGGCTGATCATTAACAATGTAGAAACGTCATAGCATGAGGCATCAATGAAACATTGGATGCCTTCTCCCAAACCCTCCCCAAAAGGGAGAACCCCTGCAGACGTCCTGCAGTTGAGCTGGGAAAGTCCTACCTGAGTGTAGGATTCCTGAATGTCGTTTGTTTCTTTTGGCACCTACATAAAAAAGGGCCGGGTGGGGTGGTGGTGGGGGGGGGGACACAACATGAAATACAACATGGTTACCTGAGCAGCTGAATTTACTTAACCAAGTGATGGTTGGTGGCTCTGCTGTTTCCATAGCCTAAGAGCGTAATGCACAGCGGGGTCTTATAAAACGGGGGAGGGGACCTTTTTGGGGTCATGGGCTGCTGACCC